CTAGTTAGCTTAGTGCTGCCTCTTTAGGATAGCCTCACTTCTCTCTCATGATAGCTTGTGACAGGTTCAGTGACACTTACTTCAAATACTCATTATTTTATAAAATTCTGTTGACCCTAACGCAAAGCCATTAAACTATCTATTCATGTTTGTTGCTTCACCAAATTAAAACTTTACATAATATTTCAGACTGATATTGCTTGAAATAGGCAGCTGGATACAAACACATCCAGCAACACAATTTCTGCTTAGCAGACACAAGAGATCCCTTAAAATACTGAATGTATCTCTAAATTACTGAAGATTTTTTATCTAGGGCGGTAGGGATCCATGCCTCTAACAAAAATATAGCAGTCACAGAAATTCAATAACTGTCTTAGTCTGTTTTCTGTTGCTATAACTGAATGCTACAGACTAGGTGATTTAAAAAGAATAAAGATTCATTTAGCTTACAGTTTTGGAGGCTGAGAAGTCCCAAAGCATGGTGCCAGCATCTGATGAGGGCCTTCCTGCTGCATTAAAGCATGGTGGAGCATATCATGTGGTGAGACCACAAGCTTGACAGTTTTGATTCCTCTTCCTATAAAGCCACGAATGCCATCCTGATGGCCACTCCCTCATGAACTCATCTAATCCTAATTACTTCCCAAAGGCCCCATTTCCACTATTAATATGTGCATTTGGGGATTGAGTTTGCAACACATAAACTTTTGTGAAACATATTCAAATAATAGCACTAACTAATTCTAACAATTATCATTTGTTTGTTGCATGTGCACATGTGTCTGCCTGCTCATTTTCAAGGTGAGGTTGTTATCTTTTCAATTCGTCTTGACTGTGGAAGCATTTACTCTTGAGTTATTTTGAAACTTAGAACATATAGCTTCAGGGTTATGTGGCTAGGTCATGAAGCCAGTCTTTTAGTTTAACTCATAACTAAATTATAAGGCTAATTATAACATCCATAGATCACAGTGTCTTGAATTGTAATTGGATGTGCCTGCCTCACGTACCCTGAGCTGGTGAAACCAGGATGTATGCTCTGGGCAGACATCTCTTCAGGGCATCCACTAGGAAAAGAGGATATAGTTATAGGAGTCATAACTGAAGAAACAGAATCTGGATGTTGAAAATGAGGAGTTAATTAAAATCTGCCTTTAGAGTTCTGCAGGCTACCTTATTTTTCATGTGCATTATTCAGATGTCTTAAGAGTTCTCAGTACAATGTATTCTGTGAAATACATTAGGTATTCAGTGTAGCTGTTTTCAGGTTTATTATGCAATATTCTGATTCATGAAAATATTCTTTTAAATACAATCACTCATGTAATTACTGTGCTTAATCTACAACATACTTTAATTAACATTTTGTAGAATTCTGGTTTAATCAATTAGATTTGATTTAGTATAATTTAGCTGTAAATATTTTTTATGATGCAGCAGCCTGAAATGGTTATCGAGAGCTAAGGTAATACACAACTCTCACTAAAACTAACAACTTCCAGTGCTGAGAAGAGCACATCATAATTTGAACTATACTTTTATTTAAAAAGAAACAATAGATCATTTTGTTTCTTTTAATTATCTATTTACAAAAATCTGACTGGGAATACTAGAACTCAAACAATATGTGATCTTATCTGGAAATAGGGTCATTAGAGCCATAATTAGGGTCATGTTCTGCTGGAGTAGGGTGGCTCCTAATCAGCATGTCTGGTATCCTTATAAGAAACCGGCCATGTGAAGACAGAGACGCAAAGAAGAATGCCATGTGTGGCCAGGCAAAGGTTAGAGTTATGCAACTGCAAGCTAAAGATCACTAACATATGACTGGAAGCTAGGAAGAGACAAGGAAGGATATCCCTACAGTTTTAGAGGTAAAACTGGCCCTGTTGACACCTTGATTTTGGACTTCTGGACTCCAGAATCACAAGACAATAAACTTCTATTGTTTTAGAATATAATTTATTTTAGAATAGAATTAATTTAGGGTGCTTTATTACTTTAGCCCTAAAACACTCACTAAAACTGATTGAGAATTAAAACTCAATATAACCAGAATCTATAAAATTACTTTTATAATAGAAGAAAAAACATCTTGCTAAAATATTTTTTAAAATGCATGTGCTCCTTTCAGTTGAAGCAAATATTCATATATTCTTAAGCAAATATTGACATAAATATAACACTTCTGTTCCTCACACACAGCACCTAGCAGAGTGTCTTGAACATAAATCATCCCACCGTACATTTTGTGGCTTAGCTTAAAATGATTAAAAGTAAAAGTAGCCTATAAATATTAAAATTCCCACTTATAGAACTTGCGCCAAAAAATGTACACAGTGCTATTGAAATGTGAGAGTAATCATTGAAAAGAATTTGCATGAAGTTTAAGGCAAAATTTCATCTTGATATATGGATAATAAACCATATACTTCAAAAACTTCAGAGTTTTTATATTATTCAGATTCTATATTTTCTTTTGCCCTTATTTTGACTTTGAAAAAATATTCTTAGCAATTATACTATGTGACAGGCAAGGACAAATAAAATAATATAAATTTTAGTTCTTAGTACTAACTTGCTGACAGCTCTCATATAGAGTTTGGTAAAGATGAAATTTAATAATATAATAAAAAATGAATTTTTAGGGTTATCTATACATTCTTTGTTTTTTTCTCCAATACTCCAGAGTTTCTTATCATTTGGTTGTCACAAGGGATCTGGACACAGGGAGCTAACAAAGCAGGGAGTATGACAGGTCCCAAACAAAGGGAAAAGTTTCCTGGCACCAAAATGTCCATTAAAGTCAGATGAGACCAGCATCTAGTCAGGTTTTTTGAGAAGCAGCAGCTTTTCATTCTTGGAGATCTTTATAAGGTTTCATCCTCCTAATTGTTCTAGACATTTAGGCTTTTGCCTATTCTAGTAGAAATTAGTATAATGAAACCCCCTAATCCCCAATCACCTCTGGATGTTTACTGCTACATGGGATAACTAGAAGTTTAAATTTTCAGATATATAGTTCCTTATCAGGACCAGCACTGAAACTGTCTGAGAAACAGTCTATACTGCAAATATATCACTGGGACTACACAATAAAAAGATTCAGACTGACAAAACATATACAAAACTACTATTTCTTGATTGTTTATAATATTTTAGTTTTTGTGCTAGGCACTCCCACATAAACTTATTTAATATTTTTAAATTTTAATTTTGACATTTTTATAGAAACCATGTACATACATTTTATAAACATGAAAATATATCTGACATTGGCATGTATATTTCTTAATTAAAAAATAAAATCTGTTAAATAATATGACAAGGCTTATATCACAAACAATAGTCTCCTGTTCCATCCCTCCTTACTCCCAATTTATTTTCATTGGTTCAATAATTTTTTAACATTTTTAGTTCTTTCTGTTAGTATTTATTTTCTTGTTTCTTTCTTCTTTTTCTTTTCTTTTCTTTCTTTTTTTTTTTTTGGTACCTGGGATTGAACTCAGGAGCTTGCACTTTTGAGGCAGGTGTGGCACCATTGAGCTAAATCCCTGGTCTCATTACTTTCTTTTTTCTAAATAATGTGTGTATAGAGATATTTCTTGATTTTTGAGTCTTGTAGATTATTTATTGATTTTCTTCTGTGGAAGATGAGGACATAGCTTTCCTAATACTCCTCCCTTTCACATACATTTTACTTCTTCTTATTCTTCTGTTATATCTATAAATAACATTGTTTTGACTGTGTAAGTATTATTTATCCTTAAGTGACACAGCATACTAGGATTTCATTTCTTCTCTTATATAACTCATTGTTTTCACCAGCTAAAAATAAATTTTTGGTTTGCTTGGTTTTCTGTATTTTTTTAAATGAATTTATCCCTAAGTTCTAAATAGAAAAAAACCTCTGAACATATTTAAGTTTCCTATCCATTTCATATTTATCTTCACATTCATCTGAAGTCTCTTCTTTATTTCTCTTCTTGCTATTCTCTTTCTGCTATTTCAAGTAAGTTGTTCTGTAAGTCTGACACAAAGTTGTTATCTGGGCCTTTCCCTTCACCATTATCTCAAGATTCTTCTCCATGCTTGTTTCCTAGGTTGGACTCCTCAGGTTCTTAGATCCTAAAATTTTCTCTTGGTTTACTCTCATTTTGTAGAGCACATCGTCCAGGAGTTTCTTGAGAGAAGCTTTTCTGAAAATGTTTATATCCTAGCCTCATATTTCATGGATAATTTTGCTGCATGTAGATTTTTCCCCTCAAAACTCTGAGGCATTTCTCCATTTTCTTCAAGGGTTAGCTGTGCTGTTGAGAAGTTTCCCACCAGTCATGTCCTCATTCCTTTGTCCAGGGTCCTTTTTTCCCCTCTGGAAGTTTTTAGGCTTATCTCTTTATCTTGGTGTTTATGATATGTACTGGTCAGGCAAATCTCCTAAGAGGATTTTATTTGCTTCTACCAAATGCTTAGGGGTATTACCAGTTTGGGATTAATCTGAATTAAATTCTTGGCTAGAGGTTTATCAGACCATTTAAGTAGTCTGAATTTGGGCCATAAGCCTGTGTGAGGACTAACTAGAATTTGGTTCCAAATCCTCAGTGACAATTTCCCTCTGTTCCACTCTCTTGCCCAAACTCGAAATTGTCAGTTTTCCTAGTGGTCCACTAGAAGTGGTATGGAGATGTATTTTTAATTAACCCTTATACTGCACGAACAGCCCTCAGGAATCCTAGAGCTCATTGGCGTGTGTATTTTCTAATTAACATATTTCACTTTCTTCTCTAGCCCTATTCCTCAAAATGCTTTGAAAAAAAGTCTGTACTCAGCTGCTCTACAAATGCTTCAGGATTAATAGTGAACCACTTATTTTTCTAGGTTCTTGTTTTCACTCAATTCCTGGTCTGAGATCTTACTTTCTTGTTTGATGATTTAAAATGATTGAAAGAATTATATTTTGTCTAGAAGTTTTAATTATTTCCAGTGGTACAGATATCTGCCCTGTCATCTTCCTGGAAATGGAAGTCTAGTAAAAGTAAACTTTCTAAGCCTTGGTTCCCTCATTTGAAATATGTATTGTGTGGAATAAGTGAGATTATTAGTGTAAAGCTCCTAACTCTGTATCTGGCACCTCAATATTTACCTTTTAAAAAAGAAGTGGGGTTCTTGGATTCTAAACATAAATTGCTCTATTTTGCTATATTTTTATAGGTATATGGTACCACTAATACTAGGGGTTGAAGATGTGAACAATCTGAGGTCTTGAAAAAAATGTATGTTTATTATAATAAGAAGTATAGTTGGTGCTTTCCATTTCAAAAATTTCCATTTACAATGAGAATCAAACAAACATTACAAGTAGCCTAGATTTTAATTGAAGGCATGCGGTTTACTGAAGGTAAATCCTCAACTAATTTGTACTTTTCTTGAGACAAAGGAATTTGAAAACATCCCTTCCCCTGTAATCAATCAAGACTCTAAAGGGATATAAAATGCATGCTTTTTCTTATAACAAACTTAGGCTGCACCCTAAGTTTTACTGTTTTTTTCTTGTTGGAAAGTGTCAAATTGCATGAGATGATCTTTTAAAACTTTATAGATATGTTTACTCTAAGTAGCTACCCTTCTCTTTAAAACCAATTTCCACCCGGCGTTGAACAGCCTTTGGTCAGAATCAGCTGTCTCTCTGGGGGCTGACCTGACTCAGGGGCACTTCTTTAGCAGGTGCATTGTGATATTCTTCACAGCCAGCATGGTCTCTGTACAGGTGGGCCTGATGAGCATCTCCGGGAGTAAAAATCCAAAATGCCCAGTGTCACGTAGTTCAAAAGCAAATGCATAGGGTATTCCATTTTTGTAAGCCCAATCCATTGAGCTACCGGAGCTTACATCTAAAAGTAAAAAATAAACAAATAAATAAAATTAGAATTAGCCTCACTGAAGAGTTTGCATAACTTTCAAAATATGTATGTACAGTGCTTGCTTACTAAGTTATACAAAATCCTTCCAGTGAAATAATATTTCAGTAAGAATAATGCAGTTCTTTGGCATCTGGTTCATGGAACTTATAAATCATACCTGCTACCATCTTTGAAGAGCTAGTCTATATATTAGAGCTTTGCCAGTATGATGACATTAAAATTTCTTAACCTCAGGTCCAGTAATATTTAATCTTCACATTTACTTTATTTACCAATAAACAGCTTACACCAGGGACTTTTTAAAATATTCTTTTAGTTCTTATCATTCAGTTTTTCTCTACTTCAAAGGTCTAGATATTGAAATTTTGTTCCCAGAAAATCATCTCTTTTTTTTTCTATCTTCTCCATTTTTCCACTCCTTCCTTTACTGTTCTTTGCTTTTACTTAAGCTGTAGTTTCCAGATTCCTTCTTGCCTCTTGTGGTCTTATTTGATTCTCCATTTGGCCATGGTCAATTATTTCTTTAAATTTCTCACCAGACTCCCAAAATATCTTCTCCCTAACCTTCTTCTCTGCCTTTGTATTGCTCTTCTTCAATTCCAGTTAGAGAAAGTCCTTGCTGAATAGATATCCAGTAAATCCACGCTGCTTAATCACTGAAGTTGTTTTCTGCTCCCAATGCTGCTTTATGCTCCTTTTCATAATCGTGCACTTACTGAACCTTTCACATTCTCATCTTGTTCTGTCCCTCACCTTACCACTGTCTCCCATACTCTTAACCTATCACCTCCTTTACTGACAACAGAGCAACCTGAATTTTCTCCTTCTAGTTCAGACATGCTGCTTGTGTGTTCTTGTATCACCTCTTGGTTCCATTTGTTACCGCTTTCTCTGTAATAGGCAGGTCCCTTTTCCAGGACCTTGTTTCCTTTATGAATCCTCTCTCTTTCATTTGCATCCACCAAAATGCTCCAGGACCACTTCTTCCCTATGATCCTGCCATATACCTTTGGTTCCAATTTCTTTTGCTTACTTCTTGATAATTCAGAAGAGAATCTCTATATATTTTTGGTATGATCTTAAACAATTTTCAGTCTGGTTTTTGCCTCTACATTTCTATTAAACTTTGTTCTTAAAGGTTACCAATGACCAAAGGCCTAATCTCATTTTTTGGCTTTTGTTTATTTGTGTGTTTGTTTGTTTTTTTCTCCTCAGGGCCTACTTTCAGCCTCTGTATAGCACTTAACATAGATGACAATCCATTCTGGCAACTCTTTCTTGGCTCCTATGACTTCAAATGGTCCGGCTTTTTAGCATAGAACTTTCAAGCATAGACACTAACTGTAGACTGCTACCAGCCTTGTATACAATCTCACCAACTACTGCAGAACTTCTCTGTGCCTCAGTCTCCTTTTTTTTTTTTTTTGGTACCGGGGATTGAACTCTGGTCCTTGTGCTTGTGCAGCAGGTGGCGAAACCACTGAGCTAAATCCCCCACCCAGTCTCCCTTTTTGTATGAGACGGCTATCCTAATACTTGTTGAAAATTAAATGAAATGATAAATCATTTTATTGGGATATATTTTCTATTTTTTACTTGATATCATTCTAATTCCAAATACCTAGTATGTAGTTTTTACTATAACAGGCTCTGTTTAAATGAATAGATGTTTCATAGAAAAATCATGGTATACTTTTTCCTGAAATTTGTATTATCCAGTTTGATTCACTATTATTAAATTTCTAGAGCATGTTTATTTACTCACAAAAAATTACTTCTTATACTATTTTTCTAGGACAAGTTAGGATGGAATCATTATGTGAAGATGACAAATAAATTACTCTGCGCTTTCTCAGATTCCTTATGCTTCAATTAAGGACAGAAATAGGTTGTGGCTTCACTGTCAGTCTGGTTAGAGTACACTGGAATTACAAATAGTAGTCATAGTAGCCAGAGTCTGAAATAATGTGTGCCCACAGTTACATCATGGTGATATGACAGCTTCATTTCTATGGTAACAGATTGTTCTTGTAAATATACTATGACTGTGCCTTTATACCAAGCTGAAAAGGTGAACTCTAAGATTTTTTAAAATTAGTGTAAACATTGTGAATATATAATTATATTGGTAATAGTTGCTAATATAAGTTTTTAAAAATACAATTTTTCTCCTTTCAGGATAACTATTGAAAAACAATTCTATAAAGGTCAGTATGAGACTAATGACCATGGATTTAGAAAAAAGCACCTATTGATGATTTTGTTAGTTTCATTATTAGGATAAACTTATCTGACAAAAAATGTTAATTGACAAACCAAGCTTTGGTTCTGAAGGCTGAAGAAAGTGAGGGATAAGATACAGGTAGATAAAAGAAATCAAGGAAAAATCTGCTGTTATTGAGAAACATAATCAGATGCTATTACCTATACATACACATACAGCCTATGTGCTTACCATCATATTCATACAGAGAACTTCAGATATACAAGACTTCTCACTAAGTTTTGCCAGTTATCCAGTCAATAAATTTTAGAATTTGAAAGGCCATGAGAAATGATGTAATCCAATTCTTCATGTTACAGTTATGGGAACTGAAGCTCAGAATTAATATGTTAGCCAGGAGGACACACCTGGCAGATTTTAGACTAGAATACACATCTTACGGTTCTTTGTCCAAGTTCTTTCCATGTAACCAGTTGTTTTTGTTTCACATAAAAGAAGAAATATTTTTAAATCATCTTTTAAGGGAGAAATCAGCTGAAGATTCATGTAAGAAATAGCTTCTCTTAAGAATAGTGGGGGAAAAGAATAAGAGGGAAGCTGTTGTAGAGCTGAAACATTTACTTCATTATCTTCTCAAGGCCAATTTCCACCCTTACAGTAGTTACAAGTGCTTACGGAGCCCATTCTGGTACTTTCTACTGTCATAAGATCTCAATTCAACTTGCAGTCATTATCACATGCTTAGCATAGTCTCTGCTTAGAATTTGTTATTTTGGTTTAGCGATTTCTGTCAGGCTGTGTAAAACTAACCAGATATAAGCTCCTTCCATCTTCCTTGGCTAATTTTATAGTCACAAATTTCACATTAAAGAGAACACTCTTTTTGAGAGGGAAGTCATGATACAGGATATTGGTTGAAGAGAGATGGTTCTAACACAATGTACACAGGAAACTTACACAATGTTCTGGAGGCAGGTCCATGTCTGTACCTTACCCCATATACTGACCGAAGTGCTTTCACAGCTTTATGAGCTGCAGATTCCTGTAAGGGAAAATGGATAAACTATATCACTTGTATTGTTGCCTTGAAATTTTAAGAAACACTGGTGTGTTGCTTGAGCCCTATTGGTCATCAACCCAGAGAACACAATGGGCACATTAGTTAACTGCTGTAAATGGTAATAATATTAATGTTGATGATGATGAAGGACTCATGTCACATAACATTCTGCAACATATTTTAGAGCACATCACTTCACTGAATGATTATCACATCAAATTAGTGATCAATAACATTTCTGTTTTACAGATGAGAAAAGGAAGTCTTGTGACGTCAAATGAGATTAAACAGCAAAGAATCGTTGAGCTAGGATAAGTATTCATATTTTCTGAGGGTGATTTAGTGTTCTGTATATGATAAAATATTTGATTGAGCAGGGACAACGTCAATCTCCCTCATAGCTCATATCCAGTCCTTAGCAATATGCCTGTGTATAAAAGATGCTTAATCAATATTTCTCATATGAATGTTGAATAAGCACAAGTCTGCAAGAGTATTTTGACAATCATATTGATCCTTAAGTATTTTTTCAGTGGACACGTACAAGTTATTTAAAACATATTTGAATCAATTAAGAAACCATCAAGAATGAATATCTTTTATTACATTATATATTTATCCCTAATGGAAATGAGAACATCAGTTTCAGGATGCTTCATGACTCTAAGGTTATATATGCCTCTCATGGAGCTTAATTAGGTACAGCTAAGATACAGAAATTCTAAGGTGGAACCCTTCCTATCAGTGCCAGAATCAGGAAAAATAATCAACACAATCAAATTCCAAAAGGTTGATATTCTAACATGAACTTGAATGATATTGTCCTTTAAAATATTTGACATTTTCAAATGTCTTTTAAACATTCAACATTTTCAAATGTACTTAAAAACATTTTCAAATGATGTAAAAGCACTAGTTCGAAAAGTAGTGAGAGAAGTATTGTATGACATGTGAGAGGAAAAGAACTATATTGAAACCAGTATATAGCTCTCCCATTTCAGTTCTCCTATGAATAATTTAATACTTTAATTGAAGCATTCTGGACAACATGGTGGTGTGTGCTGGACTAAGCTTCAAGTTGCTGTTCTCATTCAGCTCAGGGAAGCATAAGGCAGGATTTGTAACAAAGCCCATCCTTGGTGGATATTCAGGGGCCAGTCTTCAAGAGCTGGCAGGCTATTTTATTATTGATCTCACTGACGATGACATTCTTCTCCCAGGAGACAACAGAAAAGAAATGTAAACACCATAATGAGCTATCTTTATGGAGAATGTTTGAAGATTTTTAACATCTCCAATTGTCTTAGCATGGCAAGGACAGATATTTCTACTTTTAGACAATTACTGCATTCTGCTGGTCAGGAGAATTTTGTTTCTTATTATTGAAGATGAGTAAATCCATGAAAAAGCCTATTAAGAATAAAAAGGGGGGCTCTTTGCCTATTTAAACAAAGCTTGTGCAGAATTTTAACCTTGTGAGGTCACTGCATTTGAATATAGGTACATGTTAATAAGGGGTTTAGATGTGACCTGTCTACAAAATAGTAGAAACTTCATAACTTTTCCCAAGAACTATTTTTCAAGGTGACATAGTTAGACACCTATTTGAAAGACTTAAATTGGGCTGGGGATTTAGCTCAGTGGTTCTGCCACCTGCCTCGCACGCAAGTGCAAGGAACCAAGTTCGATCCCTGGTACCAAAAAAAAAAAAAAAAAAAAGACTTAAGTGACTCCTCTTTCCTATAGTGTTTCCTCTTTTCAATTGTTCAAAAGGACTCTGGGCTAATTTATTGGTCTTCAGCTAATTATGGAGTATATTTTTATTTAGATATTGCCATATCAAAAGCAGCTTTATAAATGATTTTAAAACGTCATTAGAAACATAGAATTTTACATACAGATGAAAGGTTTTTGAAACAATTTTAATAGAATTTCATGGTTTCTGGCTAACATTCAGGGATCACCTAGGTTTTGAGAATTTTTAATCTTAGTTTTAGTGATTTAGCTTATGCTCAACCCACTTGAGAATTTCTCAACAGTGGCACTATTGATTTTTAAACTGAATAGCTTTTTGCTGTGGGGACTGACCTGTGCGTTGTAGGATGGTCTAGCAATATTCTTTGGCTCTATCCAATAGATGCCAATTGCCAATTGTGACAATCAAAAATATCACAGCTGGAGGGCCTGGGATTTAGCTCAGTGGTTCCGCCGGTTCTGCCGCCTGCCTCTCAAGCATAAGGTCCTGAGTTCGATCTCTGGTATCTCCCCTCCCCCCAAATCACAGCTGGGTATGGTGGTACCCGTCTGTAATCTGAGATCTCTGGGGAGTTGAGGCAGGGAGATTACAAGTTTGAGCATAGTTCAAGCACAACCTGGCTAATTTAGCAATTTAAAGACCTTGTCTCATGATAGGAAAAAGAAGGGGTGCTAGGGATGCAGCTCAGTGCAAAGGGCTTGGGTTCAATCTCCAGGACAGCTGAAAAACAAAACAACTACCAAAGCCAACCAAACAAACAAACCCAAACAAAACTCCAGAGATTGGGAGGCAAATCTCTCCTTGGTTGTAAACCCTCCATCTACCTTTATGTCATAGCATTCAAACCAAGACAGAAGAAATAGGCTGAACACATCATCAGAAGATAAATTCAAAATATGGAGGACATTCCAATATGACAGTTTTAATGTATAGCATATTTCTCATAATCTGTTTTAAGTATATGAATAGATACTATGCCTAAAAGTGTTGAAGGGTTGCCCATAGAAATATGATAGAGGTAGTTTAAGGTGTCAGGTCAACAAAAACATCAAGTGCAGCAGCAGCAACAACAAAAAGAAAGCCTGTTTAATCCACAGAGAAATTGAAGAATAGCAATAAAGAATACAACTACCATCTTTACAGTATTTCTTTTTCTTTCTTTCTTTTTTTGGTACCGGGGATCAAATTCGGGACCTTGCGCTTGTGAGGCAGGTGGTGGAACCACTGAGCTAAATACCGGGCCCCTTTACAGTATTTCTAAAGAGAGAATTTGCTCAGAATTCTTGGGATTCCAAGAAGAAAGTCCCCTCTGGACAGGATAAAATCCTTCCCCAGGTTCTTTTGTGGCCTTCTCATGTCTCCTATTCCTTCCAGGACTTGGACATTTAGATCAGGAATTCCTGAAAACACAAAGCAGTTAGTGCAGGATCTGGGGTTCAAGGAAGAAGAAAAGTTTTATAAAACTTTTATTCTAGTATAATAAAAAATAAATATTTGGTCTTTGTTCCTGATTCTCATACACAGTTCCTAAAACCCTTGGAACCTCCAGAGTGTCTTTTGTATGCTAATGAGATGACTGGTGGCTGGGTGCCCCAGATAGCTTCTGGATGAGGCCTAATACCAGAAAGGCCAAACCATGTGATCTGGTGGCTGGAAATTTCAGCCCCATCCTTTAGCCTCTAAGGAGGGCAGAGGGGCCAGAAATTGAGATTTTCACCAATGGCCAATGATTAAGTCAACTGTGCCAATATAATGAAAGTTCCATAAAGATCCACTAAAAAATGGGGTTTGAAAGACTTCTGGGTTGGTGAACACATCAAAGTGCTGGGAGGGTGGTATAACTGGAGAAGGCACAGAAACTCTGCAGTCCCTGGCCTCTGCCCTGTAGCTGAGAGTGAGCTTTATAATAAACTGGCAACAATAAAGCATGTTAATATGCTGTGTGAGTTGCAGTAAATTACTGACATTGAGGAGAGTGTGGTGGGAACCTAAAAAACCCTCAATGGCAATTGATGTTCAAGTAGGCGAGTCTTAAGCAACTGAGACTTTAACTATGGAGTCAGTCACTAGATAGACACCCAGTAGGTGTCTGAGAAGTGATGCTGGAAAAGAAACCACACATTTCGTGTCAGGAGTTAGAAAGAAACCTTCAAACATACATACAGAAGAGTACAAGAATTTTAAATTTATAGCTCAACAAATGATTGGAGATTGCATGCATTCTTGTAATCATTATCCAGGTCAAGAAACAGAACAGCAGCAGCAATCCAGAAACCCCTTTGTTCCTCCTTCCAATCACTGCCTCCCTTCCCCTCCCCCAAAGATAATTGCTATCCTAACTTCTAACACTATTTATTAGTTTTTCTTGGTCTTGAACTTTATAGGCCTTTAGATGCTATGGGCTCTGAAATGAACTCATTTTACAATGAATCACACCCTTTAGGGCAGAAATTGTTGAGTTTTTGGTAAGGAAAAAAAGCTCCTCTGCTTTTTCATTTTCAAGTAATCTTATGCCTGAAAGTTGTTCATTCTTAGTACTAATTTTTCAGATCCATGTCCAGAGACTTAGTAGTATTAAGCAAATAGCACTTATATATTAAACTTGCTTTTTAATTAATGAGAGGGAGACTATAATTTATGAACAATTATTGACTCAATAAAGTTAATTACATCCCAGCATATGTGACCAAAGCCGTAGTAATATTAATCAAATCCACCCTGACCTTTGCTGTATAACCTGTGGTAGGAATGCAAATAGGTTTGAAATGATTGCATTTGAAAAGCAGTGGTTAAAAACCACTCTGAAGCTAGAGTTAAGGCTAAAACCTTAACACTTAGTACCTGTGTGTTCTTTGTCTAATTACTTAATCTCTCTGGGTCTCAGTTTTTTCATCTGTAAAATGGGGATAACTTATGAATAACAAAGTAGTATAAAATGAAAAGTTATGAATAAATGAGTTAATATGTAAAAATTATGAAGAATAAAGAGTTAGTATATGAAAATTATAAAGAATAAATAAGTTATAATATATATTACTTATTTGAATAAATATGTGTTTGCTATTATCACTACTACTTAGAACCATATTAGCATCAGAAAGGAAGCATGAAACCACAGGATCAAATACTTACCACACAGCTAAAATTGGGAATTGTTGCATATTTATAAGAATAGGGATACAGCAACATCTGAGCATATGCGTGAAAGGAAAGGTATGCCTTAATGTGCTTTCTGTGTTTTCGGAGGAAGTTAGCTACAGCCTTGACCTCTGGCTCAGATTCTGGGAAAGGGCCACAGTAGGTATCATCACAAGGGTGCATAGAGGCTCCTTCATCTGAAAATCAGAAAATAAATTGGGATGGGTAGCAGGCAGGGAAGACACAAGAAACAAATTAGCATTGCTGAATTATGCTTTTAAAAATTCCTGTAAAATTTTGATATTATAAGCAATTCATTTACTTTTTCATTTATGGAAATCAATAATGAAATAATGAAATCAGTAATGAAAATTCTGAGGTAATTCCAGCTCCTATGTCTGGAAGGAAACCAGGTACTGATTGATCAAACCTGCAGTAACCATTTAAAAGGATGACTCTTTCACTTGTCAGTTCTTTTGCTGGAAAGCTATATAATCCCATAAAGGAGGTTAGGCCTCCCATTTATACGCTTCACAACATCTGCACTTTCTTTTCATCACATTCAACATGCTTTTAATTATTTACTCATCCAACCAATGTTTACATTATTCTAGGTGCCTGGAGTACAGTGGCTCTGTGTCTTAATATAATCTACATTCTTTTCTGTGTATATGGTTTTATTTTATTGGTACATTTTAGGTATACCTAATGATAACATTCATCAGAGGGAATTTGTATCTGTAATATGATATATCTTTCTTTTTCTTTTTTTCCCATTCTTTTTCCCTCCCTTCAATCCTTCTTCCCCTCATTATTTACAAAAGCTGTTTCCATTATTTCCTTCTATTGTGTTTTTTTCTTGTTCCTTCTTTCCTTTATCCCCTTCTCCTCTCTTGTTTCCCTTCTTTATCTGGATTCTTTGTTCTTTGTTGAATTCTAATTCTCTGTGAAGGAAGGCACTGTGTCTTTCTTGCTGGATACCTACAACTAGAACAACAGTATGGCAAATATCCTATAAATATTTGTTGAATAAGTGAATGTCAGATAAGAAGAAAAGGCTATACTTCTATAAAAGTGTCTGATAAGATACAAATATTGATATGCTAAGAACATAAGGGTGGCCAGAAATAATTTTATAGGACCCTACCTAACCAATTTCCATTATAGTATTTTTACAGCAATATTCAAACTGGTTTATAAAACCCAAGAGGCTTCCTCAGTTATCTTTTTAGTCAGTTAAAGTTTAGTTTAAGAAATCTACAAAACTAAATTTTAATAATTTTTAAATAAAAAAGGTACACCAAACAGGCTGTTTATTAAGAGGCCATTGTGGGGAGGGAGGAATAAAAGAATCACTATAATAATTACAAAGTATTACCATTCTAAGAAATTTTGGAAGTGATTAAAATTTCCTTAGGTATTTGCCTTCAGGGCTATCACTATCTCTCACCTATCTCTAGAAAATAATAACTTTCTTCATAAGCTAATGGAAAATTTTTGGTGGGTCTGTAACATAGTACAATTTTATTGAATATGAAAAGAAAACCAAGACAATCAGGCTAAATCTTGAGGACATTAAATGTAGATCACATAATTGGGCAGAGAGGATCAAGATGGGGAACTCACTTGGAGTTACCCTCTTTTGAATCTCATTCTGGAGATGTCCCAGAAGCAAGTGGGATATGGATGGAACTCAGAACATAATGTTAAAACTATAGCTGATACTCTGAAGGATATTGGAAAAATAAAGAGATAACTGTGGAACACTAATATTAAGCACTGGAAAGATGAAAACAAATTGAACAATTAATTCCAGAGGGAGCAGAACTAATGAGCCAGAGAACACAAGAATTTATAATAATACTGATAACTATTATCAAGGGCAGATAAAACACTACAAACAAACAGGGACATGAAGTCATATATTAAAAAGACAATCAGATAGAGAAATAAAAAGTTTAATTCATTGATTGAATAAATATAGTTGATGAGTGACTTAGTGAGATGGAGTGGAGTTTAAAATATCCACAGAAGGCAACAAAAATAGTTAAGAGAAAAATGAGAGAAAAATTAGAGTATGAAAATTATAGTAAGTATCAATATATTATTTATAGAGGCTTTAGAAGGACAGAAAGAAAGTGAAATATTTGAAGAACTGGTAATTAAAATTTCTCCACAGTGAAGGAAAGAGTGAAGAGACTCATTGTGTACCAAACAAAAGAGCTAAAGGGGAAAATATCACATTAAAGTAAAATTTAAGAAAAGGAAATAATTCTAAGGAGAGAAAAGCAAACTGCTTAGAAAGGATGAGAATCAGATTCAACAGCAACATTAGCATTATAGTTTCAAAGTATTTTTTAAAAAGGAAAATTGAGCCAGCTATGTTTGCATATACCTATAATCCCAGCCACTCAAGAGGCTGAGGCAGAAGGATTTCAAGTTTGATGTGAGCCTAGGCAATTTAGTGAGATCTTGTCTCAAAATAAAAATAAAAAAGGCTGGGTGTTGTGGCTGTACCAAAAAAAAATAAAAAAGGGAAATTGGAAAAAATTGACTTTTACATGTAGCTGAATCCTCCCTAAAATTTGAAGGTGAAATAGAGATATTCTCTGGTATAAAAGGCCTCAAAAGGTATAGTACACATTAAAATACTTTGAGAAAATATTTCTACCACACGATAACTCTAGAGAAACTATTTGGTATGAAAATTACAGGAAAGAAACTTAGTGAGGCCTGGTGTTTAAATAAGCAATCCAAAGGGAAAAATATATAAAGGCCTAGAGGATGTGTATATATATATATATACAAGGAAGTATTATTTGGCCACGAGGAATAAAATCCTGTCTCTTGCAGCAAAATGAAAGGATCTGAAGGGCATAATGTTGAGTAAAATAATAAAAGACATAGAAAAAAATAATTCAGGCTCTCTCACAGGTGGATATTAAAAAAAAATTGACCTGAATGTAGAATAGTGATTACTATAGGATGGGGGTGAGGTGAGGTGAGGAGGACATAGGAAAGGCTGGATGGATTGGATCAGTGCACATTGTGTACATGTACTGACATGTTCTCCTGAACTCCATTAATATGCACAATGAGTCTATGTTAGGCAAAATTTTTTTAAAAATCAAATAAAAATAAAACAATTTAAAAAGAATCCCAGGAACATGGCAAACTGATGGAAGGACAGAAGATGTAGACCAGAGAGTGTAAACGCATACTGTTACTGCTCTCTTTGGAAAAAAAAAGATGAAGATATTGATTAAATTTAAAGAGTGAAGGAGAAAAACAAACCTAAATATGTGTCTTAAGTTAGGAATAACTTAGAAGAAGAAAATAGAACACAAACTTCACAACTAGCAGAAGTAACTTTGACCTATCTAATTGAAAGTAGAAAAGGAGAAAAAAGGAAGAAGAAAAACTAGAAAATAGAGACTAGGAATTAAGATAACAAACAAATCTTAATGTAGCAGTAATTACAAAGAATGCTAATGAATTAAACTCACCAGTGAAATGACTGATATTTTCATATAGAAAAATAAAGAAGATCCAGCAATATGTCTACAAAAAATAGGGTAAAGCGAATAGATCAGTTGTCTACTTTTAGTATTATGGCAGACACGGTGTTGGCTTGAGTTTTCTAGGGCTGTCATAACAGATTGCCACAAGGATTGCCACAAACTAGGTAAATTAAAACAGAAATTTATTGCTTACAGTTCTTGAGTCTAGCAGTCTGAAACCAAAGCATCAGCAGGGCTGTGCTCCCCATAAATGCTCCAGAGAAGAATGTTTCCTTGCCTTTTCTTAATTTCTGGTCTTTCTGGAAAATCTTGGTTTGCAGATACGTTACTTCAGTTTCTGCCTTCCTCTTCACATGCCCTCCTTTGCTCCTCTTTTTTTTTTTTTTTTGGTACCGGGGATCAAACTTGGGTCCTTGCGCTTCTGCTCCTCTTCATATAACAAGAGTAATTGGATTTAGAGCCCATTCTAATCTTAATTAATTTTAATTAGTTACATTTACAAATACCCTATTCCCAAATATGGCCATATACAGAATTTCCAGGAGGACATGAATTTTGGGGGAACACTATATTACTACAATGTTCTGAGGGGTCCCCCTGCAGAAAAACTAGGTCCTGTATAAGATACATTCTCTAATGCATTGTTTATGTTGCAAGAAGTAGAGGTAGCACCAAGATACCTGGGTAAAGATCAACTTTAAAAATTCAGTAATATAATTTTACCTTTATTATTATTACCTATGAAAGTATCTGGAATAAACTAAGACATTATTTATCATATTTAGGAATTAACCTATCAAATAGTGTATGGCTATTAGAAATAAAATCTTAAAAATCCATTAAAGTTCTATAATTAAGAACTGAATTAAGAGAAATATGTCCCATTCATGAATATGATGACTTTACATTGTAAAGATGTCAATTCTTCTTTATTTATTTTGTTTAATTAAATTTTAACAATAATTCCAACATCAAGATCTTGGGGAAAATGATAGGACTCTAAATTTTTAAATAGTTTTTTGATATTTATATTTAACTAACACATATCTATAGGGTGCAGTGTGAAAATTTGATATATGTATATTAATGTGCAATGAACAAATTAGCGCAATTAATATTTCCATTTTTTAAAACATTTTTCATTTCTTTATGCTTGGAGTCCACAAACTCATCTCTTCTAGTTCTTTATAAAAATATACATGTTTGGGCTGGGGATTTAGCCCAGTGGTTCCATCGCCTGCCTCGCAAGCGCAAGGACCCGAGTTTGATCCCCGGTACCAAAAAAAAAAAAAAAAAAAATACATGTTGCTGTAAACTGTAGTTAGTTTACTGTACTATAAAACACTAGAAAAGAATTCTCCCATCTAAATGTATTTTGGTACATGTTATCTAACCCCGCTCCTCTCTATCCTGTCTAGCTTCTAATAATCACTATTCTACTCTTCTCTAAGATCAAACTCCTGACTCCCCTGGGGGGGAATGAACACAGGGCTTTTGCTTCATCTTTATCTTCAGCCCTTTTGAATTTTTTTATTTTGAAACGGAGTCTCAGTAAGTTGCTAAGTTGCTTAGGCTGGGCTTCAGCTTGCAATCTTACTGCTTCAGACTTCCAGAGTATGGTGTTTGTCTTTCCGTGCTTGGCTTATTTCACTTAACATAATATCTGCCAGAAAGAA